TTATGTTAGTGTATTGTACCATCTATAAATGTACTTTGTAAAAACATTAGCTTCAAGAACATATGCGTCTGCATTTCTAGAAGTTCAAAACCGTCAAAAAGCTCACCAGACGTTATGAACAGCCTTTTTCATTTGTGTAATATTGTTCATACCTACAAAAGGATTGATATGAATTATTTTTAATTAGATACAGGTATTTATTTCAAAATGCTACATGGCTAAGAAACAATGTGTTAAAATATCAAGTATAGTGTGTAATCATGTGATTGTATTTTTCGATGTATTTTTGTGTAACTGTCGAACCAATACTGAAGTTCATTACTTGAGCCCTATCAATGTACATGTAGACTCATCCTGAATAGTTTTTTTTGTGTGTGTGGACCAAAAGGTTTTACTTCTATAATTTCCTGATAATGGATAATAATGTTTTCAACCTACGAATGAAGGGAAAGCATTTAACCTGAAATTGAAATAATTATAATAATTAATCAATCACATAAGAACTGCTTCCCTTGTACTTGGCTGGTAGGGGCTTCTCGAGACTCACCAGGATTCTCTTTCAGAGAATTGGCAAATTTCAAACCGGCGCGCACGCCTTCAGCGAAGCTTAAAACTGGAAGCAGCTTTGCAAGATAAACTAAACGAAGCTGTTCGCAGTGTTGGCTCTATCATTTAACATAAAAAGAGTTACCACAACATGAGAGAGGATCCACTGGTTAACTTAGAGCAACTTTGACATGCACAGTCAGCTAAACTATGCGCTTCTCCTTTTCCCTCGTGGAATGGCAATTAAGGATAACTGAACATAGTTCAGGAAGGGTAAAATTTTAAAGTAAAGCTACTTAAACACAGGGGACATGTGCCAACTTTAATAATTCATTGACCAATGATTCTGGGAGGTAGGGGGCCGATAGGCCATTTTTCACTTCGAAATTTCCCAATGACTCAGTTTTTTGCTGGTCCATCAAATTTTACATATTCCTCTGTTTTCAAATGTACCTGGGATGACTGCATATTCCTAAAGGCATGTACTTGCAAATGATAGTTGAATGCAAAATTTGGGGGCAAACATTGCATTATTAGGCATTGGAAAATACGGAAAGAAACAGGAATTTCCAGGGCGAGAGTTACCTAAGTCAAACTCTTTTTATGGGTTGTATGGCTCTGCAACAACACAGTGATTAAAACTAATGTCAATACCATTTTATTAGATACTGGAAAAGCTGGAGCTAAAACAATTTTTTGGCTGTGAAGCAGTATTTTGCCAGTTGTACATAAGCTTTTGAAGGCTGAAGACAGTGCAACAGTGAAAATAGATGTGCATGTGCAAGCAGAAGAGGAGGAATACATGTCATGTGCCTTATAAAAACAATGTTGACAGAATCTTCAGCTCAACCACAATAGGTTCTTGTATATTTATACCTTTTAGTGCATGGTGTAGCTACTAGTAATATATACCTTGTCTGGCTTTTAATTTTAAAACAATAAGTGTCTCAAAGCCAAACGTTCTATAAGCAGCTGAAGTAATTACTGCCGCTATGTGAAAAAGGTAAAATAAAACCACTCTTTTTATACCTGTCAACTTTCTTTCAGACATAAGCTTCAGATTCTTATTCTTACAGTGCCAGTAGTTTATGTAGGGAACCGAAGATGTCTGAGGACAGTCTGAAGAGTTCTTTCTATTCTGGTCTCATTTATGCCAATACGTCAAAGTTTCGATTGTTTTCACGAGCTTGTCTTTAGAGCTTTTCATACTAAAATCAGATATTTCAGCCAAAGTAAAATCATTGACGTTAACTTTTCTTCTTGAATTGGTCCCTCAAAGTGGGTGTCTTGTATTGGTTTTTCAGAGTGTGTCAGTTAATGCTGTAAAGGCTCAAACTATTCCTTCAGGTGTGAGACATTAGAAGACAGGCATTAAAAGGTGTGACTTGACGTTTTCGATTCACAGGCATGAGACTTACACCTTAGATGTGAGACTTGGCAGAGGTATACTCTTAATCAGCTGAATAATATGTTTTGATCTACATGATACACCTGTACAGGTAATTATGGCTATGTTGCTGTGTTTCTTTTATTCAACAGTTGCCTTTGTACTTGAATGTGTAATAAGTGATTCCGAGATTATAATAAATATTAAACTGTGTGAATTTAAGGCAAGAAAGTTTTTCATTTTCAAGACTTCAATGAAGTCCAAATGCAAGTGTGGGGACGTATTTGGCTTTAAGCTAGGTGATGCGCTCAGGCCAATTGCTGAACCAGAAAGGGAACAACCTCTACAATGCACCCTCAATCATTAGCAGAAGCAATGTAAATATTAATATAATGTTTATCTCAAACCTGGAAGTAATAATTTTCCATCACTTTAGGTAAAAATACTGAGGATTGAACTTATCTGAACCCTTTTATGGAAATAATGTGTTATATCTGGTATCCTAGGTTTTATGCCATGTCAGCGCACACACGTTGCACTGAGCCAATTAGGAGGATTAAGAATACATGCTGTCTTTGCACTACAGCTTTGTACTACAGTTGCCTTACATTATTGGTTAGTTATAGCAAATAGTACTTAAGTATAAAGAAGATGGTCAAATAAACCAATATTGAAAGCAAGGTCATTCCATTCTATTTTTCTCATTGTGGTTGAACAGTCCCGCTGATTGGTTGGATAATCAAAAAACGCCAAAAATAATTGTAAAATGATTTTTTCAAGATTATTATTCCATACTTTTGGCCACAGGGTTCTACATGCCATATTTGTGAGGTTTTCAAACTTGTCAGATTTGAGGGAAATGGTTCGGAAATTGGGAGCTGAATCTCTGCGTGAAGACCTTGGCAGTGTTTGCAAGTCAATTACACTTCAACAGCAAGTAGATTTTTCCTCAGAGTTCCATTATCCCATCTTTTAGAAGGACCAAAAATATCAAAGAGCTTTTGGCAGGTGCTAAAGGTTCTAATTACGCAGATAATGACACACTTTCCAGCATATGTTTCAAATGTAGTAGCAAGTGCGATTTATGTAAAAATTACATTAGAGAAGTAAAACTTTTCGTAGCAGTTCTACCGAGCATTTTTACAATATTAGCCATGTTAACTGTAAAAATGTTATGTATCTAATCCTTGTTATAAATGTAAAGTTCAGTATGTTGGTTCTACATTGTGACGATATTGCTGTATTTTTAGTTTACTTTTATTTCACTTCTGGTCCACGCGTGCTTACCTCATTGTTTTACCATGGCAACGGATCTTCAAAGACCTTGTGTTTGGGTTTTTGTCTTCGCAGCTTGTAAGTTGTTTTGATTAAACAAGTTTATTTCAAGCCCTTCGTCTGTTCTTCTTACGAACAACTTTACATGGTGTCAGTGAATGGGATTCTTTCTACAGAATCTTCGCTGAATTGTTGAGTGAATTTTGAAAGTGGAAAACAAGTGAATTCTGACTACAACTCCATTCCCCATTGATACCTGCAATCCAGCAAAAGAAGTGTCATTTCTTAATACGTTTCAGTTTTTGTCCATTGTGCTTGTTCTATTCTAACAAAAAAAAAAATCCACACAGATGTAATTTTCCCAATTTACTCAAAGTCACCCAACTGTCAAAAACAAGAATAACGTTTGCTATTTCTTGTAACTTAAAATTCCTTTTTCTGTTGTGTTCTACAATGTAGCTCCATGCACATATATCTGAAAACTACTGATTTTACCTGGATTATATAGCATCCTCAGAGAAAGTCCAAAAGGCTGCAAGAATGTTGGGAAATGTGGTTTTCCTTTACCAAACCAAAGTTCGGCAAAGATGCGATTCTTCCTGCTGAACCTAGGAATAAGTGTCTTGATTATTCTTCTGAAATAGTTTGTTAAACCTCATACAGATGTATTATTAATAATTGCTCAGTTGTTCAATTTACCTTTGAAGAGGTGAAAGCTCATTGATCACAAGAAAAACTGGCCATACTCCATAACTCGAGGAGCGAATGAGTGCACCATCAGTGTTGCCAAGAAGTGAAATGTTGGTTGCACTTGCTAAAAAACCATGACGACCTGAAAACATTTTGTACAGCTCGCCATCATAAACATCTTTAATTGAACCATCATCACTAGTTTCTCAATGAAACCTGTAAGTGAGGTTTTCAAACTGGCCGGCACCTGTGTGACAAAAGCAAAAAGTGCTTTCTTCACTTTCTTCCTCCCCTTGTTCCTCATTTAGCTCGGTGGAATTACATGTAGGACGAGGTGTATCTCCTATACAGCACTGTACACCCTGTTTTCCTGCTGAGCTATTCAAATTGTTCCCACCTGAAGGTTGTTAGATTAGTGTGGCATTTTTTTACTTGCTATACTTATTAGAGTACTTAATACAGCAATTAAGAAGTTGTTAATAAATTTTGTCCCAATATACACATATATTTACATGTACCAGAATTGAAGAACTTACGTGACAGAATAGTCTTCAGTTGGTCTTTGTAGTGTACTTTCAGTATAGCTTACATGATGTATCTAGCCGTACAAAGGTTGATGGGATTGATTATTAAAAGCACAGCGGATTAGATTCGGAGTGTTTCTGGTGCAGCTTCATAATCCGTGTGAATCGGTTTCAATACGTGATTAAGACACGACATCTGGCGACGAAGATAGTCTTTTAGGTCAAAAAAGTTGAATTATGGCCTCTATCAAAGTGGATGATCTACTAACAAGTGTAAAACCCTTCGATCCTAACGGCGAACCGTTGAGCATTGGTAGGCAATGGCAACGCTGGCTTAAAGGTTTTTCATTATATGCCGACAGCAAGGGCCTCATCATCCAAGCAGACAAAGCCGACAATAAAGTGCAAAGAAGGGCTCTACTTTTGCATTGTGCCAGGAAACAAGTGCAGGAAATCTTCGAAACTTTGGCTGATACGGGCACAGCGGCCGAGTACGAGAAAGCTGTGAATGCGATAAACGCATATTTCATTCCAAAGGTAAATTCAACATACCAAAATCATCTTTTCCGAAGTATGAACAGCGAGAGGGTGAAACGGTGGCCCAGTTCGTGACAAGGTTAAGACAAGTTGTGAAAGATTGTGATTACGGTGATCAGGCGGATAATCAAATTCGAGATCAAGTTGTTCAGCGGTGTACGTCCCATGATTTAAGGCGGAAATTGCTTGAGAAAGGTGACACTTTAACCCTAGAAGTTCTACTTAAAACTGCTGCGTCCTTTGAGGCTGTGCAAGCTCAGCTGGAGAGTATGAAGAGTAGAGGCGTTACTGTGAATCAAGTTCATGACTCAAGCGAAAGCAGGCATTATCATAAAGGGAAGAAGACATCGGGCGAGCCTGGAAACAAAACATGTTATCGATGCGGCAACACAGGACATTTTGGACGAGACCCTGAATGCCCCGCGAAAGGAAAAACCTGCAGGTCATGTGGTGGTGCTGATCATTTTTCTTCGCAATGCAGAAGCAAGAAGAGTAAACGTAGAGGCGATAAGAAGCCAGAAGAGAAGAGGAAAGTGAGATATATGCAGGGAGAAAATGATGACGAGGAAGATGAGTATGCGTTCACTGTAAAATCAGTGTCACAGCCGGAAAAAGTTCAGGTAATTGTGGGCGGTTGTGTTGTGAAAATGGTGATTGATTCAGGGGCGAGCACTAACATTGTAGACAAAGGTCTATGGAATGACCTAAAGCAGCAGAAGATTGTCTGTGTATCCAAGAAATGTGACAAGAAGCTTTACGCGTATGGAAGCAAGGAGCCATTGAAAGTTTTGGGAACATTTTCAGCGCTAACGAAAGTAGCTGAGAGCGAGGTTCAAGCTGAATTTGTTGTCATCGATGGTGAAGGAGAAGCACTACTTGGAAGAGAAACTGCGTTGTAACTAGGTGTGTTGAAATTAGGGGCTCCAGTTTATACAGTGCAATCCAAAGAAGTGATCATGTCTGATTACAAAGGAGTATTTGATGGTGTAGGCAAGTTGAAAGACTATCAAGTCAAGTTACATGTTAATCCTGATGTACCCCCAGTAGCCCAGCCAGTCAGACGTACTCCATTCAGCCTCCACGACAAGGTGAAGAAGAAGGTTGAGGAACTTGTAAATATGGATATTATCGAGCCAGTAGAGGGCCCAACACCATGGGTTAGTCCAGTAGTGGTGGTACCGAAACAGAATGATGAAATTCGGCTATGCGTGGACATGCATAAGGCCAATGAAGCCATAATCAGAGAACGCTACCCCATACCTACTGTCGATGAAGTACTCCAAAGCCTGAACCAAAGCACAGTGTTTAGTAAGCTTGATTTGAAGTGGGGATATCATCAGTTGGAACTCCATCCAGATTCCCGTAGCATTACTACTTTTATCACTCACTGTGGATTGTTTCAATATAAGCACCTAATGTTTTGAATAAGTTCAGCCCCAGAAGTATATCAGCATGTTATTCAGCTAGCACTTAGTGACTGTGAGGGAGTTGCTAACATCTCTGATGACATAATTGTACATGGGAAAACTACCAAGGAGCATGACGAGATATTAAAGCGAGTCTTGGAGAAACTGAAAGAGAAGAACTTAACTTTAAATGCAGAGAAGTGCAAGTTTCACATGACCAAGCTGGTGTTCATGGGACTCATGCTAACAACCAAGGGCATCGGTCCAACTGAAGAAAAGGTGAAAGCTATTGTCGAGGCGAGAGAGCCGCAGAATGTGTCAGAAGTTAGGAGTTTCCTGGGACTTGCTAACTACAATGCATGGTTCATCCCAGATTTTGCCACAGTAACTGAACCTTTGCATAGACTGACAAAGAAAGGTGTCTGTTTCAAGTTTGGAGGCGAGCAGAGAAAAGCATTCAATGAGCTGAAGAGCAGATTAGCAAGTGCTCAAACCCTTGGGTATTTTAACAAAGACGCCAGGACACTAATTATAGCAGATGCAAGCCCAGTTGGTCTTGGCGTGGTACTTGTTCAAGAACAACAAGGAAGAAAGAGAGTTATCAGCTATGCCAGCAAAAGTTTGAGTGATGTAGACAAACGGTATTCTCAGACTGAGAAAGAGGCGTTGGCAGTTGTTTGGGCATGCGAGCGTTTCCATGTGTACCTGTACGGCATTGAATTCGAACTGTACACAGATCAAAAGCCATTGGCGACAATATACTCCAACAAATCAAAGCCCTGCGCCAGAATTGAGCGATGGATTCTGAGGTTACAACCATACAGTTTCAAAGTAAAATACCTGCCAGGAGAGAAGAACATTGCAGATCCGCTATCACGCTTACTACAAGAAGAGAACCAAGCTGATTCAACGATAGCGCACAAAGTATCAGATGTATTTGTCCGATTTGTAGCAGTAACTTCCACTCCACGGGCGATGACCACACGCGAGATTGAAGAAGCATCAGCAGAAGATGAAGAATTCAGTGAGTTGCGTAACTGTATAATGAGGGGAACCTGGAGGAACGACCAGCTTAAGCAGTACATACCTGTAGCCAGTGAACTGTGTGTGATTGGCAAGCTAATCCTCCGTGGTACCAGAATTGTAATATCCAGCAAGTTGAGATCCCGAGTCCTTACGCTAGCACACAAAGGGCATCCTGGTATTGTTAGTATGAAGCAGAGGTTGCCATCAAAGGTATGGTGGCCTGGAGTTGACAAAGAGGCAGAAAAATTTTGCAAAACGTGTTTTGGTCGCCAGCTAGTAAGCAGTCCTGCCCACCCTGAACCAATCAAGTCGACCCCCTTGCCACAAGGTCCTTGGCAAGACTTTGCCCTGGACTTGCTAGGTCCTTTACCATCAGGTGACTCCGTGTTGGTCGTGGTTGATTACTTCAGCAGATATTATGAAATTGAGATTATGCGCTTCACGACATCCGAGAAGATCATTGAGAGTCTGGAGAGGATCTTCAAGATTCATGGTTTACGACTATCAGTAACCAGTGATAATGGTCCGCAGTTTGTTTCAAATGAGTTTGAAAAGTATTTGGAAGACTGTGGTATAAAACACAGGAAGACCACGCCATTATGGCCCCAAGCGAATGGAGAAGTGGAAAGGCAGAACCGATCTCTTTTGAAAAGAATGCAGATTGCACAAGCTGAGGGCAAACAGTGGAAGGAAGAAGTTCGCAAATACCTGATTGCATACAGATCGATTCCTCACACCACCACCGGAGTGAGTCCAGCTGAACCTGTTAAGGAGTGTATTTGAATCATATTGCCTGTTATTAGTATACAATTTGTAGTTTCTGGAGAAAAAAATTCATCACCTTCACTTTCCCAACTTGACGTATACTGAGCATATGTGAATGCCCTCAAAGTCCTTACCACCCAACCCTCACTTCCATCGCCACCACTCCATTTCTGTTTCTTGCTTTTTTTCCTAAACATTGTTTGACCATTAACTTTTGTATGTTTTTTACTACAATAAGAGAAAAGCCCTGAACAAGATGATGGACCTGCACCACAAAAGAAGCCAAAACAAAAAACGAGTAAAAAAGGTGCGTTTTCATTGAAATTGATTAATTTATTAACACACTATACCTCAGATGGAGATACCTCAGATGAGTATCCAATCATCAAATTGTAGGCAAAGAGAATTAAACAGAATTTGCTTTTAAGCTTCCATAGTTATAGAGTTCAAATTTCACACCAACCCTGGGCTATCTTAATCCAGCTTCGAAGAACCCGGCCCTGTTGATTTATAGTCCCAGACTTATTACCCAAAATACATGTACCATGTATTCACTCATAAAACATTCTTATAATTTCAGCCAAGACTTCTTCCCCTTCTAAAAAGAAAACTGAACAACAGAAGGAAAAAAGCCTCAATAAACAAAAAGAGCTGTCACTTCTGACCCAGAAGCTTGATAGCATAAAAGATGCCATCTTAGACAATCCCACTCCAGACTTGGGGCACATGTCAGTATCTGAATCTGAAATGAGTCTGAGTGACAGTGAACCTGAAGATGTGGCTCCTACCCCTCCACAGAAGCAAACCAAACCATTACAGCATCCCCACTTTGGTGGGAAACAGCCTAAGAAGCACATACGTGCCCGCTGCATAAACGTTGCTTGCAAAGAGGAAAAAGAGGAAAAAGATGAAAAAATTAAAAAGCTCACTGAAGAAGTACAGGACCTCAAAGACGAAGTTCGTAAGTATGAAATATTTTACACTTTCACACAATTGAGCACCAATAATGATAGACACAATGCAACCATTACAACTTCACGTCGATTTAAGTGTGTATTTCAGAAATGGGCATAACCGCTGGATTCTGTACGCTGAAGGCTCAATTTATTCGTCCGGACTTTCCCTTCGAGAGTGCTCGTTTTGACTCGGTTCAAAGAAGGTGAGATTTTATGGCGGAAGACTCAGAAGCGAATTCAAAGGAATTGAACAATGGCTTAATTAAGCTGCCCAGGGCCACGAAGTTTTAAAGGTATCCTTTTGTTCTAAATGTGTCAATAAAACTGCAGACAATTATCGCACATAACGCGGCAGAAGTTTATGGATTTAAGTCTTTCGCAAGACTTCTTCGACTTGGGTACGTATTTTTGAAAAAGGAGAGTTTTGAGAGCTTCAAAAAGAGATCTTGAACGAGAAATTTCGACCACTGTGGACCGAGATTGGATTTTTTTTCTTGCCGAGGTTTCGAAGTACAAAGCAAGCCGCTGAAGCATTTTTTCTCGGCCTATCGCTTAATAAAATCCGGCCAGCCGAGAGTTCCATTCATTCAATCATAACAGTTATTCATTTCTCCAGAGCAATCAAACTATACAAGCGTTTCTACGAAATTATTTAGAGGAATTATGAACTCCGCAAGTTTTGATCTGTCGATTACAGTTTTAGATATTTCCTGTCTCACTCGATTAGCTCCGCGAATCAAGTTGTCATGCAAATCGGTGAATTGACAATACGCAGTTATTTCGGGCCCTGCAGTCACGTAACTGAAACGCAAGGTTTTTCTCAACAACAAAAAAATGAAAGGCAAGTGAAAATGTCCAAAAAAGTGAAATTACACGCTAATAAATCTGTGTCATCCCATTAAATGCATTCACTGCTTGTGTTGTTTACATTTTGAAGAGAGTTGTTCGCTCTTGATTGCGGAGCGCAGGTTATGAATCAAATGTTCTAATAAATACCTTCCGCAGCAATTCTTTAAACGCCAAATTATTTTAAAGCCAAGGGAGTATTTAATAAAAAAAATACCATACGAGACCAGGTATTTATAAGCTTTAATCAACTTCAAATTTATCAGGCTTGTTTCGTTTGTAATATGGTGCGTGACTGAAAATATGTTATGCAACCACAGTTGTGCGCCACGCTTAAAAGACTTTTAAGCATTCCCACAGACCGCAGCAAAGTTAACAGGCAAGTCCGAGTATTTTAATGGATGAATTTAATACTCATCAGGTAACAATGGGGATTAAAAAGTCAATCAAGCAACAAAATTCGAAACAAAAGAGACATATTGCACCTAAATCAAAGCAATTCCGCTCGTGGATTCTTCGGAAGGTAATCGACAATGGGAAGAACAATAGCCTGAATATATGAATACTTGATGACCCCAAAATTTGGGGTACACACTTAAATCGGCGTGAAGTTGTAATGCATAAATTTGTAATGCTTCTAGGGTTACTCTTCAATATAAACATTTGCGGACATAATTTTACTTTGACAATTGTATAAGACACTCCTGCATTAGTTTATTTCCAGCCATGTAGCATATGTCAGTTCATGTATGTGTCAGCAAGTTGCACAAGCAGTCTCTTGTCAGGGAAGACTGAGAGGCAAACAAATTGCATTCTCAAAATGTGGCGTTTTTTTGCTCTAAAACACAATAAATATTAATAAGTCTCACTGCAAAAAATAAGCCTAGCTCCCTCAACCCT